TATGTGAATCCCACATTTCTCCCTTATTATTATTATTGTTATTATTATTTTTAATAAAATGCTGAAGTGGTAGGTAGATGCAAGATAAAGGTAGAAAACATAGTTTAGTGCTGTAAGAGGGCTAATGTAGATGATCAGGTGTAAAAGCCATGACTTTTAGATCCCTTCTTTAACTTTATGGATCTCTTCTGAATCTTCTCCAGTCTTTCCTGATTCTCACAGGGCTCAGTACAGGTGGGGAAATTTCTGAGTCTCTCTAAACCTCAGGTTCCCTATCTATAAAGTGATTAGGGCCACAGGATCTGCCTTTCTCCAAAGATCGCAACATGATGCTTGCATGCTTGATGCACAGCAAGCATTTAATAAAGGTTAAATAATAACCATAATAATAAGTCTTGACTCTGGGGTCCTATTCTTCTATTCATGTTTTTACCTATCATGCTGTTTCTTTAACTGAAGCCTCAGAATCCTCTTCTTGCTCTACTGCAGCTCCTGCTTCTGTAGTTGGTTTTCTTGCCTTAGAAATGCTTCTCATTAAACATCCACATCTATGTCTGACCTTGACTCTACTTTGCTGAGGTAGCTTTCCTGAGCTGCAGGTGTGACAGTAAGAGAAGATGATTCGGGGGCTGGGGGCAGAGAGGAGAAAAGGAGCAGATGGAGGGAAGGCTGTTATGTGCCCTGCCTGGGCTGCAGCCTCACCCCTGTTTAGCCAGATGTTGACATCTTCCCAGTCTGACTGACTGAGAGAAGGAAGAAGAATGTGTTCTATTCGCTCATGTGAATTTACATAAAGAACACATCTTCAGTCTCTAGGTGTTGGAGGGAATTTGTCTCCATACTGCTTAAGAGTCAAGCTTGTGGATTTATTTGTTTGGGAATTCAAAGGATCGCAAGGCTCTTTCTATCTTGAGGAGCTGATGGAATTTCCTCCAGGTGCACTGAAGATGGTTGGTCCCCATCCTCTTCCCTCCTTCCAGCCTCCCCTCCTCAGCAAGGCCAGAGGACCTGCACAGTTCACACTGAAGTTTCCCATGCAAAGAGCTGCTCGTGAATTTCTGCACTTGTGTGTACTGAAGGAAACCAGTTTCTAGAGTGCGGCTTGAAGTTCTTAATAACCAGGGAGGGCGTGTTGGCCTAACATCCATTCTAGCCATGCCAAGCTCTTCACATGTACAAAAATAGTAATAGTAACAACCAACAGTTAATAAGGTGCTCACTACATGCCAAACGTACTTTAAATTATTATGTATATAAATTTATGTTATCCTGAGTACTCCTCTGATGGAGTACCTTCCAGCATCCCCATTTTACAAACAAAGAACTGGGCTCAGGTAGGTTAAAACACTTGCTCAGGGTCATTGAGCTAATGTTGGAGCCTGGATTCATTCTCTCTAATGGGTAGATAGAGCAGTAGAGGCCTGGCACAGCATATAGACTCTGTCAGTCTTGGTATTGCTGCTGGATCCTAGAGGGGAGTGAGGAAGGCAGCCCCTAGGATCAGTAAATTGGGTCTCTGGCACCAGGAGAAGAATCCACTTGTGCTGTTGCTGCTTCCTGATCTCTTCTTCATTTCACTGTAGGGATGTCGGTCAGGGTGTCCTGGGACCCTCCTGGAGGCTTTGAAGCATCAGACACCACAAGCATAGTCCTGCCAGTCAAATAAGGGAACTTGCAAGGGAAGACATTATTCAAAATATGATCCATTGATTTATACCAGGCCTTGTTCCCTAAAGGATTTATGACAGTATACAGAATTGCCTCACCTTCTAGGAAAGAGCATGAATTAGGGGCGTGTGACAATGTGGCTAGAATCCCAGCTCTCTGACTCCCCTTCCCAGGGACCTGGACCCATCCCATCACGTCTTGCACCCAGGTGTCTGTAGCTTTAAATTGGAAGTGGTGTCTTTCTGGTAGAATTGGATGAACATTAATGGCTGTTCATATAAAGTTCCGAGCACAAGGCTGGCCCACAGAAGGTGCTCAGTGGATTATTAATATTATTATTACAAGGTGGCGAACAATGCAGCATAAGGAAAACAAAGAGGCAGGATCTTAAAATGAAGACAGATGTGAGGCCTGTAGAAAAATACCTATGGTGAAGTCGTACTTGCTTTCATAGGGCTGGCATGAGGCGAGAAACCTGATTGTCGAATCATCCACGGTGGTCATTAGAGGACAGCAGTGTGCTCAGGAGAGGCTGCTTCCCAGGCAAAGGTGGGAAGAAAGCTGTCTCTAGAGTCCTTCTAAGGAGGACACTGCAATGTTATAAACAGTGTCTGCAACTTCCTTAGAGTAAACACAGCGACAAGGGCCACTGACTGTCCCTTAATAGCAGCTAATGGCAACAAGCTGCAGCATAACCGAGTGGAAAGCATTCCACTGAGAGCTGATGTCATGGAGTCCAGGCAAAGTGCTCTCGGCCATTGTGACTTAACCAGGGACCATAATAGCTAATGCTCACTGAGCATCACCAGGGGCCAGGGAGAGCTCTGAGCCCTCTGCACCCATTGCTTCATTTACGTCTTACAGCAACCATGTGAGACTGCTAATGTGATCATCCCCATTTTGCAGTTGAGTGAACTGAGGCCCAGAAACAAGGTAAGGAAGCTGCCCAGGGCCACTGGGCCCGAGATCCCTAGCCAGGCTTCACACCCAGGCAGGCAGGCTCCAGAGCCTGTGACACTCCCCTCTGTCACTCTGGAAAACTGGTTGGACTCAGTATCCTTGTGCTGGTCCGTTTCAGCTGAGCTCTTGCAAATCTTAGGCAGCAGTGAGTTCAAGAAAATGTCTGCATCTTGATGAGTTCCCGAGGGGCAGACAATCTGTGGGGCCAGTTCGCGAGGAGCAGTGTGCTTTCCCCATCTGCTGAGACGGATGGGACCAACAGAGTCCAGTTCAAGGGCTTCAACGGAAGGTGTGCATGGCCTTGGCTCAGAAAAGGGGGAGAGCAAATGCGAGCAGGGCCAAAATCTGCCTGAGAAATGGATTTTCAATCCACCCTACACACAGACACATGGATGATTGAGGACCCAAAGTTCTCTCAGGATCATGGCTGCAATGATTTTAGTCTGAAAAGTGTCAAGGCAGTTAAATGCCTCTTTGGGCTACTGCAAAAAAAAATGAGTAGATGGCACCCTTAGGATACTCAGTGCACGCCCTTTTATTGTGATTTTTGCCTAGTATATTGGACTCCCTAAATGATCTGGCAGGAAACAGTCCCACCCCTATAGCCACCATCACAGCAGAATGATTCAGAAAGACCCAATGCACCACAGGGCTGTTTCTGCATGCAGGCATGGCATGGTTACAACTCTAACAAAGCAGGGCTCTCAGTGGTCCAGCCTTCTGGGCTCATCCTCTCGCACCCCGGGTTGGCTGGTAGAGTTTGCCTCCCCGTCGGGGAGAGCCAGCCCCTCAGGCTTTCCCGAGAGCTCTCTGAGGGCTAGTGGTCTCCGACCCAGCCCGCCTCCCCCATCCTGGTTTGTCAGGTCCTGATGGTGACCGTCCTTCCCTTGCTGTGGCACTCCCTGCTTACAGGGCTCTAATCTTCTTGTCCTTTGGGCCTTGTGCTGTGTGGCCCACTTGTCCTCAAAGTTCGGTCTGATGTGGAGGAATTAGAGCACAGTATGGTAGAGGCAATAGTAGAAAGCCAGACGTCCTGTCCCTTATCAGGATCACTCACCATGTTCCCTTCAGGCCCTGGCTTGGCATTATTTTCATAGGCTTGCTCTTCCCTGGCAGTGCTGTTAGCCCAACTTACTGCCCCCTCCGACTCCTAAATTCCAGTTACTTCCTTATAGTGCAGAATTTAGCTCAGTCTTCATCTTCCCTCTTACTTCCCAGTCCATGCCCAGAGCCTGCTTTTCCCACCCAGAAAGTCTCATCAAGGCTCATGTGGTATGTTTCTTCACTGTTAGGTAATTTCCTTCAAAATACATGAAAGTGGCCACAGTCATGGTTTTTAGATAGCATTTCCCCCCTGTTACATCATATGTTTCAGAGTTTACAGAATATGGAAATTAAATCTTTACAAAGTAAGGACAAAATAATGAAAATGCCCCAAAATGAGCTTTCAAGCCATGCAAAGACATGGAGAAAAATGCACAGCACTAAGTGAGAGAAGCCAGTCTGAAAAGGCCACACACTGTGTGATTCCACCTATGTGACAGTCTGGAAAAGGCAAACTATAAAGTAAAAAGATCTGTGGTTGCCAGGGCTTCTGGGGAGGGAAGGGTGAATAGGCGGAGCACAGGGATTTTGAAGGCAGTGAAATGATTCAGTGTGATACTGCAATGACAGGTCCATGTCGTTGTACCTTTGTCCAAACCCACCAAATTACAGCTACAAGAGTGAGCCATTTGTAAATTATGGACTTCAGATGATGATGACGAATAATGTAACAGATGTACCACTCGTAGGGGATGTTGGTCATCGGGGAGGCTGTATGGGAAATCTCTGTGCTGTCTGCTCCATTTTGCTGTGAAGCTAAACCTGCTCTAAAAAATAAAGTCTGTTTTATAAAAAACGACCTCAAACAGGAGATGGCAAAGCAGTCTGATTAGATGAGGAGCGGTGGTGTGGATAATGAGGGAGGAGAGGCGTTGGCTGTTAGCTGGGATAGCCCCACAAGGCTTTCAGGAGAGAAAGTGGAAGTTGGATGGAGTAATGTGGATGGAAAGGGTTTGAGTAGTGAGGAGTGAGGAGGAGGGTGTCACAGGGAGGAGAAGCAGCCTGAGAAAAGGCATGGAGGTGGCATGACACATGTTGCACAGGCCTGAGGTGTTAACAGGAGCCCAGGCTGGCCGGGACCCTCGCAGGGGAGGAGGAGCAGCAGACAGCCGGCTGTGGAGCCCCTGCCAATTGTTTTCTGATAACATTTCTGAAGTGAACGTGTTGATTGAGGTTCCTGGTGTACAAGACACACAACAACGTATACTGCTAGAATGCAGCTCTCTAATTAAGTCTATTTTCTTCCAACTTGTGTTTGTTTATTACAGGGAGCTGCGATAACTTGAGGGTGTCATGTCAACCTTGTCTCATGTACCAGCTGAACCCAGTGACACCAGCATCTTGGATTCTGACAGATGGGGTGTTACTACTGACCCACCTGGGCAGTGCCCCAGGGCTGGAACTTGGGGCTCTGAAAGTGCTTCATTTGCAGTGTGGGCTGGCCAGGGAGGCAGCTGGATGCCTCAGGTTGGAACCCCATGCCCGCATCTCTTACACAGTGGTTCCCAAACTTCAGCTTCAGTCTGAGTGGAGGACCTGCCCCCAGAAATTCGGATTCAGTAGGTCTGGGACAGGGATGGGAATTTGCGTTTCTAGCCAGTTCCCAGATCGTACTGGTGCTGCTCTTGGGAGATCACACTTCGAGAATCACAAGGCTACTTCGGAGCCCCATTGCTAACTGATGGAGCTTTTCCTCTTCAGTTCTTTCTGTAAAGGTGTGCCCTGAGGACCTTCAGATTTGGGGAGACAAACGGAGCAAACAACCCAAATATCCATCAACAGAAGAATGGATAAACACCAGGTGGTACATCCATACAATGGAATATTATTCAACTATAAAAAGGAATGGACTTCTGATCCATGGTACCACATGAATGATCCTTGAAAACATTATGCTAATTGAAAGTAACCAGTCACATAAAGCCACATATTGCATAACTCCATGTATATGAAATGTCCAGAATAAGCAAATTCATAGAGACAGAAAGCAAACTGGTGGGTGCCAGGAGGTAGGAGGGAGTGGGGACTGACAGCTTATTGGGTGTTCATTTGGGATGAAAAATTTGTGGATGATGGTTGCACAACATTGTGAATGTACTTTGTACTATTGAATTGTGCCCTTTAAAATGGTTAAAATGGTCAATTTTGTGTTACATGTGTTTTATTACAGTAAAAAAATAAAAATAAAAAGAGTGAATGTAGCACTGTTCTAACACAAATTGTGGGACCAGTTGAAAAGCTTATTGGAAATTACTGGAAATGCATAAGTCCTAACCCGGTGATTAGTGATTCTCAGCCCTTATTTTGTGAAGAATCACCTGGGGAGCTTTTATACCACACCCTTGTCTCAGCTACATCTAAGACCATTTAAATCAAAATCTCTGGAGGTGAGGCATAGGCATAGCAATTTTTTTATTTCACTCCCAGATGATTCTAATGTACAACTAGGACTGAGAACAGTGGCCTTAAATCTCAAGGGCCAGATGGGCTGATGACATGTACCAATGGACTCAAACTTTATCACAGACAATGTACCTTCATCTTATCCCAGGCTGGCTTGCAAGGGGTGTGTAGAGTAGAATCAGGAGGCTGGAATCATTTTGAAAACAGGTTCCATAACCAGCTGGCTGTGTGACCTTGGGCCAACCACATAACCTCTCTGAGGTTTTGTTTTTGCATGTGGAAAGTAGGAGTCTGTTTTCTCTTACAAAAAGAACACATTTCTTGGGGTTTTTGTAAGGCTTACATGAAACTGGCCAGTTTCCCAGTTCTAACAGTGTCATACACTGTTTTGTCATCCTAACATCAGACTGGAAGGAGTCATGTTATCCGGTTGTCTTCTGCTAGACTGGAAAGAAGTGGCTTATTTGTGTGACAGGCCTAGCATTGCAATACTCTTGTTCTGTAAGTTCAATTTTCTCCCTCCACTTGAGGGGTGGGACACATTTAGATTAGGAGTTAGTGATGAGGGCCTCTCAAAGCCATAATATCTAAGTGGAGAGGACTTGCAGGAGAGACTTGAAAGAATATGCAAGAGGTGAGCCTGATAGAAATCCTTTCTGTGCTCATGCTCAGACTTTCTTTTGTGTACCAAGCTTTATAAGGATGTGAATATCTTAGAGTACTGAGATAAAAACAAATAAAATTCACCCGCAAATACCTACCAATAAATGAAACTAGATTTTTTCATGTTTCTGTTTGGTTTTTATTCGTAGGTAATCTATTTTTATTCAACAACATTTATGACATAGATACAATTTAATATTCTGCTTTTTTCACTCAGTACTTTATCTTCTGTATTTGTCATGTTTCTGTAGTTCATTATTGACATTTCAATAGCTATACAATATTTCACCGAGTAGCCTTACTATAATTTACTTTACTAGTCCTCTATTGTTAAACCTTTTCATTGCTTCCAAATTTTCAATATTTGAAATTGTGCTCAATGAAAATATTTCTGATATAACTTTTAGCTTCCTTTGGCTTATTTACTTAAAATGAAATTCCCGTAAATTACTGGATCAAGGGGTCTGAACATTGTAAGGCTCTTGAATGCACCATCAAATTGCTTTGGTAAAGGATTGTATCAGTTCACATGGCTACTATGGAAGTGGGTATATAACATTTTCAACAATTTGCCAGCACTGAATTTCATCATTTGAAAAAGGTTTACAATTTGTACAGCTATAATCTCATTTAATATAAGGTAATAGGTTATTGTGTCTGATTTTTTGGCATGCATAACATCCCTTCCCCATTCCTTTATTTTGTAAAACTGCTGGAGGGCAGTTTACAAACCTTGCACATCGTAGAAAATCAATGATTACTTTTTTTTGAAGTAATGAATAATTCAGGCAATTCCTCTTCTCTATAATTCTTTGGTTTTTTAATAGCGGAGGTTTTTTTTTTTTTTTAAATAACAGCAACTAAATTACACTTTATTTTACTTTCGTTGGCAAGTCTCAGAGAGCTCTGTTTGCTGGAAAAGCAGAGAAAGATTTTCAGTTGGTGGGAAGCAGACCTCCCCCACACCACATGAAAGCAACTCAAACATCCCTCTTTCCTCCAGCCTCTCTCTCTGCTGCCCTTTCCTGTCCACACCTGGAGACCAGCTCCATGTGAACTAAGACAAAACTGTTTGTAGAGTGCATGGGAGGAAAAGGCGCACCATAGTCCCTTCCTAAGTGATGGAGCTTTGTTCCCACTTTCCCAAGCAGGTCTGTGCATGCCCAGATGACGGGATCTGTGCTGTGGTGCCCGTTGACGGGTCGGTTCTTGGGGATGAAAAGCTGCGCCCACTTTTGAAGAACTATGTATGCTTTTTATGAATTACAATAGAGTCTATATAAATTTCAAAAATGATAGTAAGAATATTAAAGAGGCCAGTTTATCTGGCTACACACAGCCTTTGGTGTTTGTTGGCATTCTCTAGCTCTCTGGGCGTCCTCCTCGGCAGAGTTGGGAAATGCCGCTCTGAGAATACGCCAGTATCTCGATAGGATAACTAAGAGGTGCTTACCCAATTGAAATGACTAGGGAAGTGCTTGTCCTTTTAACTGGTACTTTACTAGCGTTTCATACTCAAACCTGCTCCGCCCCTGGCCTAGAAACTCTCCCATAATTTTTGAAGATGGCTGATTTTAAAAGCCCACCCCCTGCGTGTCCACCTTCTCATCAGGGATGGCAACAATTTAATGACATCTCTTAACTGTCTTGCTGCCTGTAAATGACATCTTCTTCCAATTAAAAAGTAACAAAGGCTGCATCTCTCCTCTGTTCTCCTCATTGGCCATAGCATCTTGACATGCCTCTGTCTCCAGTTTTGTCTAAGACCTACCTTACCTCTCAAAATGGAATGTCGTATGTTTCCACTGGGGAGGGATTGTTTGCAGCTATGTTTTCAAAGGCAGTTTATGCTGGTTGTTGGCAGGAAGCTGACATATATGTGTCCCCATGGATCCACATCAACATGAGGAGCCCTTTTATCCTGGCCATGCCTGAGTTGTTGCTGGGATGGGTTAACCCACTCATTTGCACTCCTTCCCTTGATAAGGAAAATATTCGACACAGCCAACAGGGTCAGCAGAAAACTCTCGGCCCCTCCACTGTTTTCCTTACTCCTCTGGGCTCCTCTTTCACCCTGCTTGCTGTGCATGCTGAAATGCCACATATCAAAATAGTGTAAATTACTCCCCTTGCTTGTGCTCAGGGCTCAGACCTTTGGAGATTACTTTCGTCTGAGCCCACCACTGTGAAATAAATCTCCACCCTCCAAGCCCTCCGAGTGCCGCTTGGTTCTTCTGTCATCAATCCAGTCCAGGTTTTCGGTTTTCCATAACACCCTCTCCCCATTTCCTGCAAAGACACTCTGGCTCTTGTGTACTGTAGCTTCACTCTTCACAATTCAACTCAGCCTATACAACGTCATGGAGTCTTAAACTCAAGGAAACAGAGAAGTCATAATCCAGAGTTTTCCAAGCCTGACTTTTCACCAGAGTATCTTATGGACTTTTCTAAAACACATATTCTTGCCCACACTCCTGTTCTGATTCATTAGGATTGTGTGTGGACATGATACTGGCCTTTCGGAAAGGTCTCCTTGTGCTTCTGATGACCAGCCTGGTTTCAGAACCACTAACCTAATCAGGATCCCAGGGCAAGACTCCTTTGAGTATCACCTCTGGCAGGTAGTTAAGCAAACTGCACTGGATTCCTCCAGCTGTGGGGCACTCACTACTTTTCACAAGTGGCCTGGTTGAAACAGCTCTTCCTTATGGTGAATAGAAAGGCATTTCCACCATATAAGTTTCTACCTATTGGACTCAATTATACCTCTGAGAGCAACACAGAAAAAAGTTACTCCTACTTTACCCCCAAAGGGAAAAGGCAGCTAACTACCAGTTCCTTCTTAGGATCTCTCTTCTTTCTGGGTTCTTAGTCCTAGTTGCTCCCCTCTGAATATGGCAGAAGTGAGTTTATTACAAATGTACATATGTGTTTTAGATGATCTCTCATGAGAACTTTAAGGAGGGGGTATCTTTCCAGTGTTAGTGATGACTAAGGGCCAGTGAACTTAAGTGATCTTCCTCAATTTCCATAACTAATGGAAATCTGAACAATCTGTCTGACTCCAGATTCTGCATTCTTAACTAAAATGTTGTGCTCTGGATTTCCCCCTTCTTTGCTTTTAAATAAAAATAAATAGATGCTAAGTGAGTAATAAAGTGTTTAGAAGTGTCCCCCCCACCCACCCAAATTCTACTCTTAAGAGGCAGCCACTGTCAAATTTGCAAATTCCCTCTGATGCATGCCACGGGAAACCAGACATCGTGTTCAGAATGGAGGGGCTCTGCCTTCGTGCTCTGGGCACCATCTGCAAGGCCTGCAGCCCCCACCTGCAGTGAAGACCTGGAGGAATGAGTTGGTCTCTGCTCATTTTGACCATGTGGGCAAGAAAATCCTTAGTCTTTGTGTGTTTTAATAAACTATTGCTGATTTAGGATTCACTCATTTTGTATCCTTGTAAATGGATTCCTCACTCTAAAAAGAAGGACTTTGGTTATTTTCCTTGTGTGTGACCTATCATTCCAACTTATATAGATCCTTTAGCCTTTCAGTTTGATGACCCATTAAGCTATCTAGCTCAATGTCATTCTTATATGTTAATAGCTACAATGTCTCTTTTTGTTCAAACCATTGATAAAAGTTTGTTGAAGAGAGGACAAGGATAGAGTTTTTGAGTAGGAGTATCAATCTATCAATTAATTAATTAATACTCCTACGCTATAGTTATTCAACCAAAGGTGAATACCTAATTGTACTACTCTTCAGTCTTATCTGTAAGCACAAGAGAAATTTGGGGAAATGCCTTTCTGTCCCCAGCATTTTTCTGTTTAAGTAATCTAGTAAGCTTATCCCAAAAGAAAATAGTAAATTTTATTCTTAGCCAGCTTTATGTGACTTCCTAGTTATCATCACCTTTCCCCTTTAAGCTTCGCAAAACATCCTTGTTAGGTGTGACCTATCATTCCAAAGTATATAAATCTTTTAACTTCCCAATTTGATGATCCATTAAGCTATCTAGAGTTTTAGATAGCTAGAGTTTTGCTGTGGGCTGATATCAGCTCCCTTTTTTTGGTCCAGGTTCTGAGCAATTCAGAAAGGGCCCGAGTTCAGGCTGGGATGTGTCACAGGGGAGGCTGGAGTGGCAGGAAGGCGAAGGACAACAGGGTGGTGAACAAAGGCAGCTTCGGCTGGCAGGTGGACAGGCTGGTTAAGTTCATAGGTGTGGGGGCTGGTTAACCTGAGTGGAGAGGTGACTAGTGGTCAGTGAGGGGAGCTGAAGGATCCACCTTAAGTATGCATCAAGGGACAGGGAAAGATCAAGAATGGAACAAAGGCACATGTTCCTTCTGGGAACAAACCAGCTGGGCAGGGAAAGGCTGGAGGTGCATGTTTGAATGAAAGCAAGAAACCAAGAAAGCCCAAGGGTCAGGGAGATGAAGCTGGTGTAAGTTCAGAGTGAGGATGGATCCTGGAGAAGTGAGCTGCCTCATCAGGCCATGTAATGGAACAACTTCATTCCATGTTTCAGCAAATGACACTAACTGCCCAATTGTCCCAGCCAGAAATCGTGTCCTCTTAGAGTCCTCCTCCTCCCTCACCCTCCCCAAAGTCAGCTAATGACCTATCATTTATACCTCTCCTGTTTCTCGGAGCTGCTTATTTCTCTCCATTGCTCTGTCATTTCACTCTTGAATCACTACACAGCCACCTCACTGGTCTTCTTGCCTCCAGATTTGGTTTCCCATTCTGTCTCCATACCATAGATTCAGTCTTTATTTTGAAACACAAACTGGATTATATCTCTCCCCTGCTTAAAATCTTGCAGTGCATTTTCTATGACCTTCAGAATAAAGTCAAGCCCTTTAGCATCAAATAGCTGTACCTCTTGCAGGATGCCTTGCTTCTCACTCTTGCCCCTACCACCACCCTCATCTTGCATGCTTCAGGCTCCGCTGGTCCATGTTCTGGGTGGTCATATTGTACACGCTATTGAGCATATTGCTCCTGCTGCCAGAAATATCTGTCCCAACCTAACACCCAACTGACGGCTACTCCACTCAGCATGTCTCCTCTGCCTACCACCTGCTCCCCTGCTATATGAAGAACATGACCTTCTCTGAGTCCTCCCCTATCTTATTTCTTTCATGGAACATAATTAGTCTGTATTGTAATTGT